ATTTGCTGGTGTAAATTTCTGGTATTATACTATCTAATGCCATTTAAATCTCTACAGTTGCATTCTCTAAATATGGCTTCCATAAATCCTCTATTATTTATAAAGCATATCACTTCTCACATTAAAAAGTGGAGACCACCGTCTTTATCATTTAACTTGTGATGGCATTGGGAATTGGTTTAGCTAACAGAATGCGGCAGAAGTGTTCTGGAATGCTTGATCTCAGGGGGCTTAAGAGGACTGGAAGCTTTAGTTTCTCCACTTTTGGAGTTCACCCGCCATGCTATTAGGAAGTACAAAAAGAGAGGTACCTGGGCAGCTCAGTTGGTTAAACATCCTACTCTTGATTCTGGCTCAGGTCATAATCACATCAGGCTCCATGCTAGAGCCTGCTTAAGATTCACTCTCTCTTTCTGGGGCACCTATGTGGCTTAGTCAGTTAAGCATCTGACTTCAGCTCAGGTCATGATCTTATGGTTTGTGGGTTCAAGCCCTGTGTCAGCTCTGTGCTGACGGCTCAGAGCCTGGAGCCTAGTTCACATTCTGTGTCTCCCTCTCTTTCTGCCTCTCCCCTGCCCACATTCTGTCTCTCTCTGTCTCAAAAATGAATAACTGTTAAAAAAATTAATAAAATATTTTTTAAAAGATTATCTCTCTCCTTCCCTGTCTGCTCCTACCCTGCTAGTTCTCTCTCTCTCTCTCTCTCTCTGTCTCTCTCTCTCTCTCTGTCTCTCTCTCTCTCTCTCTGTCTCTTTTAAAAAACAGAGAGACGGGGACAGGGGGAGGGAGGGCCCTGGAGGATGATGTGCCATCTTCGATGTCCCAGCCACAGCCAAGCTCTCAGCTAAAAGCAAGAGCATGAACGATCCCAGTCATCATTACGTGACATAAAATAATTGCCCAGTTGAGTGCTTCCTGAATTCCTGATATACAGAATTGAGAGAAATAATAACCTGTGGTCTTAAGCTACTAAGTTTGGGGTCATTCATTATGCAGCAGTGGATAACTACAATACTTTCCCACTCTTCCAACTAAAACCTCACAGGGTACAACAGGTTAGGTATTGCTTGGGGCAGGAAAAACAGAACCTGTTGGTGTTACAGCAGTGTGTACTGATACTAATAATAATGATCTTATGCCATTGTGATGACTTAAATGGTGCTTAAGGAAATAAGAATATCTCTCTAAGTTTGCATGATATATTTTAGAAGTAATCCCACTTAAACTAGTTACATTTCTGAAGATTAATACAGCAACTTTAAGGATGAGGATCAGGAATCTAGAACCTTTGCTTATGTGAGAAGCTTCATTCTTGAGGAAGTTAGACAAACTATTTGTGGTTAGACAGAAGAATTTTCTTGCCTTGAGATCAAAAGAACCCGAAAAACTGAGATGAGTGTAGGGCATACAGACAGATGTGAAAGACATCTCAAGAGTAAGGGCTGGAAGGTGGGATGTTGATCCCTTGAAAAACTCCCCTAATAGCCTACTGTGTGTCCTGACATTATCATTGAACAGTACTTTTAGAATAGTGTATCTGACAGAGGAGGTTTGGATCTTAGCCACAGCACCACCATTTATTTCCTGTAGGCTTTGGCTGAATTATTTAACCTCTCCTGAACGCTAGTTAAAGAACAAGTCTGAATCCCACTGATTCTCCTTGTAGACAGACTCTACAGATTTCTCTCTGAGTGAAGAACATCACATCTCCCTTATGGAACTGGAAAGGCTGAGTCAGTGTGACTTTCTGAGAGCCAGGGGTTCATTCATGTGGGGCTGACTGACTTTTCCTAGTAAATCAGTTTCCAGCCTGCTGTAACAAAGTGCCACACACTTTGTGTTTTAAAGAATAGAAATTTGTTTTCTCACAATTCTGGGGGCCAGAAGTCTGAGATTAAGATGTCATAGAGTTGGTTCCTTCTAGGGGCTATGAGGGAGACTCTGTTTCATGCTACTCCCCTACCTTCTGGAGGTTTTCTGGCAATCTTTGGTATTCCTTGGCTTGTTTTCACATCACTTTAACCTCTGCCTTCATCTTTACATGGTGTTCTTTCTGTGTACAAGTTTCTATGTCTAAATTCCTCCTTTTTATAAGGACCTCAGTCACATTGACTTAGGGCTTACCCTAAAAATCTCATTTTAACTTGGCTACTTCTATGAAGGCCTTATCTCCAAATAAGGTCACATTCTGAGATGCCTAGAGTCAAGACTTAAACATATCTTTCTGGGGGTACACAATTCAAGCTTAAATACCTGGGAGATGCTGCAGAACCTCAGAGCCTGAGCAGTGCTCTGCTTGAACATCCTTGGAAATGACAAAACCCATAGATGCCTGTTCTGATGTCTCCCAGAGATTGACTCAGGCTCCTTATTCCATCTTAGCCTGCAACTTCCAGAGAAAATATTGTAGTAGTTATCTTGACAGCCCTAGCCAGCCTAAACTCCTGCTGTGCCTCACTTCACCTGATGTCCCAAATCTACCAGCACCTCTGCAACTCATCCTCATCCTGTCACTCACTCAACAGGCATCTCCTGGATGCTGACTCCCTGCCAAATCCTAGCCCTCTTCACTATTTTTTTTTAACTTAAAGTAGTCATTTTTTAAAGTTGTTCTTTCCAAAGTGGGAAGTGACACCATATATGAATGACAAGTGTCTCTATCCCTTGCTTAGGAACTTCAAAGGAAAAAACCCAATCCCTATAAAGCAGGCTAGAATAGCCACTTAACGATTCAGTGACTGTCCTAGTGCACATGCCTCCCTTCTAGTTAATTCTTTTAGACTAACAACGGCTTTGGACACCATAAATTATATACCTGTTTTGACTAAAAGGAGTTGCGTGACGGGTGGTAGGGCTTATCAAAATTGAGTCAACATTACAGGTGCTGTCAGCATGATAGACAGAAAGGCAAGGTATAATCCCAATGACTCCCCGATGAAACATATACAGAGGCTTAACCTAATCCCTGAAGGAATGACAGGGAAAATAAGGTGAAAGACCAATTAGCCTCTTTCCATATAATCCTAAACTTATTGGTTGGCTATTTTCATTTCTTCCACTCCCTGACTCACCAAGTAGGAGGCAGGAGGTGACAAAAGCCAATTCTTTCTCAGCGGAGTCGTCTGATATTTTTTGGTGGAAGATCAACCTGCCTTTTACTGGACTAAAAACATGTGTCATATTTACCCACAGCCTTTTTCTTTTAGAGAGTTGTAAAAGGCAGCACATTTGTCTTTTTTTTTTTTATAAATGGAGGTAAGTAGGCACTTGGGAGAAGCAGGGTTTTTCTCAATTGCCATCCATCAGTTACTGAGTTCCCCCTTTGTGTTCACTCCTTGTTAGTCATTGCAGATGATACAAGGAAAAGAGAAACAATATTCCATGGCCTATTAGAAATCAGACTCTAGTATAGGGAAGAAAATAAAACTCTACTGTAGGAAGAGAAAGTCTTAATGAGTCTGCTATTTTTCATATGTGATGAAATTGCTACTTTCTTTTTATCAGGGCAACTACTATATTTTGGGGTTTTATCCAGCTGTGGGGATGCGTATGCACTGAGAATTCATTTCATGGACTCATTCATTTAGCATCCTTTGTAACCAATGGCATCTAGTTGAAAGGATACTAATCAGCGTCCACTGTAGCATCTGTGATAATACTTAGGCGCTGAAGTCAGGAATGAATAAGTGCATGGCTTGAACTACACTGTTATGCTTCAGTGAGACTGTGTGTCCATGATGGGGAGTTGGCTACAGGTCAATGTCACTAAAGCTGGGAAGACTTCATGAGTTGGGTGAGGGAGTTAAAAATGTTTCCTTCACATGAAGGTGATGATCTTTACAGTGCTCCAATGTACTGCTCTGGCCCTAGCAGCTACTCTTCCTAACTGAATTCTCCATATAACCTGTCCTGAAGGAGCTAATAAAACCACCAATAGTGTTTCATTTCTGGGACAGAGGTCCATCAACTGTCACCAAAGGTCTTCAGCCTCCTAGTGTTAAACCCAGATCGCAGTATCCTCACCGACCAGAGACCACCAGGGAGACCGAGTCACGCATGCAAAGGCAAAGGGCTTTATTACGGGCTTAAGCTCGGGCTCACAGACTTCACCAGCATATGAGTCCGTGCTGAGAGCCTCGAACAAGGGCAGAGTAGGGTTTTTATGGGGTTTGAGACTAGGGAGTTACAGAATTTGTGACATGGGAACAGTGATCCAATCATAATAATTCAACATCATTGACAGCGGGTTTGACCATACACACTGTCTAGAGTATTCGTTACTTTTGGCGGGATCCAATTACAACATTCAGAGTACTTTTAAATTCAACCAATCACAGAGCGAGCCTAGGGTCGTGTTCGGCGACTAAGAGGTTAACTTTAACATTAGGTAACAGGGTCCTATCTATAGTTTCTATCTCCAGGCCTCTCCTTTAATAATGTGGAGGGTGGTCGCTGGACTTTCCTGATTGGGTGTTGCAAGGGTGGTTTCTCCTGCCTTGGGCAATGTGTAACTGCCTGATAGTTTCGGGAAAGCTGAAACTCAGGCCTTCTAGTTCAGAGGGGAAACTTAAAGCCTGTCATGGAGTCAGTTTGGTTTAGACGTTTAGACTTGCGGCCTTACACTAGCAACCCAAGTAACCTCCCTAGAAATGGACCCAGTGCATTTAGGAGGAGAAACCCAGGCTAATCATTCTGGCTATTGTTTCCTTTCTTCTTCTATCTTTGCCCACATATGCCATTTTTCCCCCTAATCAACTTCAATTACATTCAGTTTAACAAAGATTGATAATAATTATCATTGCTGTAAAGAAAAACAATAATCTTTCCTCTCCCCACAGTGTTTTCATTTTTTCCTAAACCATTTTCACATACATTAATTAATTCAATCTTTATCATCTGCTGTGTGCCCAACAAGGTATAAGGCGTTGTGAAGAATGCAAGAGGCAAAGCTTTACACACCCCCTGAGTTGCTAATGTGCTCCCTCCCATTGTTTTCACAGGCCACTATGACCAAAAGTATCAGTCCTGAAGCCATCAGATATGGCTACCAGACTGAAGGCCTGGCTCCTTTCTGGGAGGAGAAAATGGAAATCTGTCACCCTGGCACCCTGACTCCCCTGCCTTCACTCCAGCACAGTCCATGATCTGCCTGGCTTCCCAGGCTACTCCAGGCGCCTCTGCATATGGAGCTGCTATATCTCCTCTCTAGATAGTCTCGGTATTTTTGTTTCTAATTTTAACCTCATTCAGATTCTCCACCTGCGCTTCCCCATAATGTCTCCTGGTTCTTTCATGTTGCATTTGGCTCTCGGCTGGGTTTGCAACTCCTCCCAACTTAGCAACATCTGAAAATTTAATTAGCAAGTGGTTGTCTCCTTCTTCCATATAATTAATGAAGATGTTAAAATAAAACTGGATTAAGAACTTATTATGCTATAATTTGCAAATCATTGCCAAAGTTACCAGTTAAGCTCTAACAAGGCAGGAGGGAGCAACTTGAGAGGGGTGAGTGTGTCTAAACCATCACGATCCTTCACTCTAAGCCAAAGGCAGTATGGCACAAGAGCAAGAGTTCAGGCTGGGAGTCAGGAGCCAGAGTGTTCATCGGGAGTCTGTCACCAGGAGAAACTGCTCTGTGATGATCCACCTCTACACTCCAAGGTACAGACTGAAGGAACCAAAATCCTTTAGGCTCAAGAAACTGAGGAGTTGGGTAGACTCTCAGGTGAGGAAGCAACATAAGCAGCAATCCATTCAAAAGGGAGGGAAAAGAATGGAGAGGGGAAACACGTATTTCTTTTGAATATTGTAATATTAATAAGAATAAGCCATTCTTAAAGAGTGAACAAAATAGTATTAGGTCAAATCATAAAATCGCAGGGTGTACTTACTCCTAAAAATCTATTCTTGGCTAGTGAAGACCTTCAGCTCAAGACAAAAATGGTCAGAATAAGGAAGGGGAGTTTCCACCATTTAAAAACAATTGGCAATGAGGAAGATACTGCCCCTAGTTTTATCTCAGACCATTCATAACAAAGCCCATCTTTGCTTTTACCTTATGCTGGTCTTAGAATTGTTCTTACTCCCCTCATTCCTTCTGACCTGGTGTCTCTCAGCTGAATCTTTTACCTTGATTCTTCTCTTCTTTACTTTGACTTTTGTGACCCAACAGTCATCTCCCAGCTCCTCCATCAGTTTGACTTACTCCATCTCATGTCTTTCCATCAGTCACCAAACAAGGCCCCCCACCTGCTCCAGTGTACAGGCCAACCCCACACATAGCCCCTGTGACATTTCTGTCCTCCACCTTGGACTTGGAATCTCCTCCTTGCAGGGCATGCCCACACAGCAAAAAGCAAACCTGGGAGCAGGATTAAGTGCAATTATGAAGGACAGGCACAGAATAGATTATTGAAGGAGTTATTAGTGTAAGCAATCTTAGCTTCATAGAGCAAATATTAAATAGGTAGTGCTGTAATATAAATGTTTGCATCCCTTCAAAATTCCTTTGCTGGAAACCTAACCCCCAAGGTGAAGATATTAGGAGGTGAGGTCTTGGGGAGGTAACTAGGTTGTAAGAGTAGAGCCCTCATGAATGGGGTTCCTGTCCTTACAAAAGAGGGCTGACAGAGCTGCCACGTGAGGATACAAGAAGTCTGCCACGCAGAAGAGGGCCCTCACTCAACTATGCTTGTATCTTGATCTTGTACTTTCAGCCCCTGGAACTGTGAGAAAGAAATTTCTATTGTTTATAAGCCACCAAGTCTGTGGTATTTTGTCATAGTAGACCAAACTGACTAAGACAGGTAGTCATACTCATGGAATTTTTTCAAGAAACTAAATGTTGAAGAATATAATTCATGAATTTGGTTTTATTCTAAACTTCTTTTGTTATGTCCAACATAACAATATAAGTTAGAATTGTCAAATCATCCATGATTTGACTGCCTTACTGGCCCAATACTGCAAATTCCAGATGAAGTCTGGTATCAGATACATTAATTTCTATATGTGAGCCCTTTATAGTTCTTTACAGCAATGTATTGGAAAGGGAAAGTCTATTTTGTTTAAAAAAAAAAAAAGAAAAAGGAAATAAAAGACAAAGTAGTGACTCACTCAAGGGAATACCTTGAAACGGGTATAATTTATAAAACAAAATACCCTTAATATGACAGCAGTCAATTTAGCCTGATATAAAAGAGGGTCTGTGTTTTCTTTCATTTATATTTTTATGATATGTAATGTCTTTATAATTTCACCACTCCACATCAAAGCCGCCAACCGCTGAGCGCCTAAATAAGTAGCATGTGAAGAAAATGAATGAATTGCTAAATGTCCCATTACGTCCACAGAGAATATCCTTCTATTTGGAGTCAGGAGTCTTAAATTGAGACGACAAATGAATGGTTTTCAGTCCAATGGAGGGAGAGTTTTGGCAACTTTATTACATTCAGCATTTGAATGGACTAAGGGGGAAATATAGAGAGAAATGAAGTTTTAAAAAAATAATGTGTTGTTGGTATCTGAGCTCTGGCTCTAAATGTCAGTTCCTCTGGGAGACAGAGTGATGGGGACAGTAGGGGGCATAGCACATGCATAAAAGCTCCAGGGAGCCAGAGAGGAGGACCTGTCAACGGTGTGATTTCCCCGGCACAAAGAAGCTATTTGGAGAATCTTAACAAGTTCCAACGTATTTGGCCCAACACATTAGGACTGACATCAACAACTGAAAAGCAAAGAATGTGTTGAGCCGGTTAAAGGAAATCACAATAATCAGCAGCTCTTAGGGCACTTAACCACACAGACACCCAGGGAGCCCCAGGGCAGGGAAAAGAAACAGGGCGGGGCAGTGAAGGCGGCCGCATCCGAGAGTTCATCGACTTTAAAAATCGGAAGAAACTAGAATGAGTGCTGTAGTGAAGACAACACCTCTACTGACCTGTGCATAGCATATGTGCACTGGTCTCAAGGGTTTTCTTTAAGGGAGGCCCACTTTCACAGACCCTAAGTCATTCATTCTTAAAGCCTCAATATTTGAAACTTCTCTTCTTCATGTTCTAGATCCCACATCCCTCATCTCTCTCTCACCATCTGCAAATTTCCATATAGACTTCCTCGCAGCAGGGCAATGTGGGCACACTTAGTGACGGGGGAAACAGGCTCAACTAGGGAGCCACAGCGACTTCTGAATCAGGAGGCTGGGCATTTTCAGGGCAAGACATTCAACTTTTTGGTTAAGAATTAAACAACTACCTAAGAGCACAGAACCAAAATAGGTCAGATGATGTATTTTGAGTGTGAACAGTTAGTAGTCAAGATAATTATTTATTCTTTGAGTGAGACTGACCTGAATATTTGTGAATATGTGAAAATATACATCTGATATACATGCAGTCAGAGCATGATGGGAAGAGGCTTTCCCTCTTATATCTTTTAGGCTTTTCCCTCCTGTATCAGTTTATATCTAGATAAGAAAATAACAACAACAAAAACAAAAAAAACCTGGGGAAATCTAAGCGTTATCCTCTATGTAAATGGAGAGTAGTTTTTTACTCCTTTAATGGGAAAATATTTTCTGTATGTAGCAAACAGGTATTCAAGTTGCAACATAATGTAAATCAGAATATAAACTTTGAAACTTGAATACTGTGCTTTTAAGACAAAAGAATCAATCAATAGGTTGTTTCTCTCTGACTTCAGTTTTCTAATTACAAGAACAAATGGATTGAATTATATAATTCTAAATTCCCCTACAGTCTTAATATTTTATGATCTTTAACAATATAAATAATAATGTCACAACTACACAATAATGGCATATCAGCAACAACAATCTTGTCTACAACCATTTGCCAAACACGCATAAAGCACTTGACAATGTGGTAAGTGGTTTATGTACTTTACTCCATTTAATCCTTACAATAACTTTACAAAGAAAGAGTTACTATTCTCATTTTTATAGATGAAGACAAATAAGTTTCCCAATATTACATAGTTTGTGGGTGCTAGGATTGGAATTCTAACTTTCATTGAACCTCAAATCCTATGTTCTTAATATAAAAACAATTGTTGAATATTTTAATTTTACTTAGCATGGTAGGAGGGGAAGACCAGCTACAAGAAACTGAGAAGTAGAACTATTTTCACTAAGTGTTTACAATATTATTGAAGAGAAAAGACCTACATGGGAAAGAGATAGCCCTATAGTTTGGTATGTGTGTAAGTGCCAGAATGAGTAGATCAGTGAATAAGAACTACTGGATTTTTAAAAAAGGGAAATCATTATTAGTTAGATACTAGCAACAAAACTAATTGGAAAGAGCTTCATGTCATTGGGCTTTCCAAAGAGAGGATACAAGGCAGATAGGCTACAGAGGCTTTTCTGGTGGGAAAAAGTGCATTAGCAAAAACACATGCTGAATTATTGTGGCAGGAAGATAATGGAAAGATGAGTTTGGTTTAATCAGTTTGAAGGAACTCATAAAGCTTGATATTTTGCAGAAAGAAAGAAGAAAGAAAGAAGGAAGGAAGGAAAGAAAGAAGGACAGAAAGAAAACAAAAAGACAAAAATAGGTTAATTTATTTTCTTTGAAATAATTCAGAGTGAAGAAATTCATTGTAAGATATGATTAATTCATTTGCTTTTGCAAAATGTGATCAGCACTTCTGGAGATAATATTATGTTTGATTAGTACCTTCAAAAGTGTAACTGATGGACCACATGCATTAGGATCAACCAGTACCTCTTGCTAAAAATTCAGATCAGCTAGTTCTCACACAGACCCACTGAATCAGAATCTCTGCAAAATGAGACCAATAATTTGTATATCAAATGCTTTTCAAATTATTTAAGATACTTTATTGTATATGTGCTGCCGAAGCGAGCACTTAAGATACTTTATTGAAGTATGACTTTCATAAGATAAAATGCACAATCGCTTCTCAGCTTTTTGCCTAAGATCAAGTGTAGCATAAGATAAAATGCATAAATTTTAGGTATTTATTTTGATAACTTTTAACAAATATATACACCCAGGTAGGCTTAATTCCAGTCAAGATATACAACATTTTTGTACCCTAGTTTCATGTGCTTAGGATATACAGAATTTAAAAAATATTAAACTGACTTGACTTTGCAGCCAATCCCCGACTTCTACAGGTGATCACTGATTTGACTTCCAATCCTGATAGATTTTGTCTGTTCCAGAATTTCATATAAATGAAGTCATTTAGGGTGTACTTTTTTTATACTGCCCTTTTTCTCTCAATACAAAGTCTGTGAGATCCATCTTTGGTGCTGTAGGTCATCAGCAGTTTGTTCACTTTTATTGCTGAGGAGTATCCCATTACATGAATATACCATGATTTGTTTATCCATTATCTTATTGATAGATGTTTGAGTGATATCCAGTTTCTGACTGTTGTGAA